AGAGATTTGTTGAAGGTAGAAGGCAGCAGTCTATCTAAGCTTGATACCACAGCATATATATCTCATTCTTACAAGGTGAGGTGCCATCTAGAACAAAAACCATTACTCATCCACAGACCTGGCAGCAGAGGAAGAAATCCACAGTACACAATGCCATGGCTGTCCATTAGATATGATCCTTTCCTCCACTTTCCACTGTTCAGTACCGATCCTCTTCCTGTTCTATATTTTTTCTGGTACAATTTCTCAATCATTTTTAACAATTCGTGGAGTCTCCCTGCTTTCTATCTGATGGTCTACTGTAGATAAATGACATGAAACAGAAATGAGTGAAAGCAAAATCAAGCCATACGAAGAATAGACTGACAAAATGGTAAAAGTACCAAAGAATTATCAACAAAAAATCACATAAATGAAATTGTGAGAGGCTCATTTGCTATGCTGGCAAATTAATAAAATAATTTTCAAATGTATGGATGGAGAAATGCTATAAAGGGTGTTTATAACACAAGTTAGGTCAAAACTGGAATATTCAGCAATTGTGCTGCCTGCATCTTAAAAACAAACTTTGGTAAAGTCAGGAAAGATCCAAGGATGTAGCAACTAAAAGAATGAGTTATGGGGAAAAAAAGCTGAAAACATTAAAGATGACCAGATTTGCAGATAGGAGGAAAGAGGATATATGATAAACACTATAAGCCATGAGAAAAGGTCGAGATTTTTAGTATCTGCAGCAGGATAACAAGCCAGTTAGAAATTGAGGAAAAGGTGGACCCAAAAAAAGAAAAAAAAAAAATTCTTTGAAGGTTGGGAAAACAAAATGTTTTAAAGAGGTGTAAGCTCCACAATGATTGCAGATTTTCAAAGTCATTGAAAGAATTATTGAAGACAGGACATCACAAGCATAACTGCCCCTGTAGCTATAAATAATAGAGAATCTGCATTACCCTACATCCACAAGATCTCCCCCTTTCCCAGCTCCTTCCTTGGACTAAACCCTGATCGACTCCCTTTCCCCCAAGAGCTGTACAAATCCCTACAGGTTTTGCCGACACAGCCTAACACCTAGAGCTATGCTACCTTTCCAAAATCTAGCATTGTGCACCTGCCAACCTTTACATATACTTCATAGTAAATGCTAACCTCAAAACCTATATTGTGTTATATCCCACATTAACAATAAAAATTATTTTATCACCAAAGAATTCAAGCCTCAAACCTAAGGCTTCACTTGCCATCCTTCATTACTCTGCCTCCATCCCCCCATGAACACTGAAGTTTTTTCCAGGTGATGGTTTTTGTTCCATTGGTCAGCAGTCATCTTGGGGTATTAAATCCAATTTACTTTTTTTTTAAATTTCTAATGGAATAGTAAAAGTAATTCATAATATATTGACAGGCACCCAAAATTTATTTTGTACTTGAAGTATTGAAAAAAGGCTAAAATTTTTAATAGATTTACACTTATGAAATAAGTTTTATTAATTTAGCTTTTAAAGGAATCCATTTGAAGATCATTGAAAGTCTACAGCCTATGTTGCTTTAGATTTATTTTCTCATAAAAACTTAAATAGTTCTCAGAATCTTCAAATAAAACCTTGTATGTATGCACATGCACAACATTTTGAACTAGCCTTTTTTACATCTTATCTCATACATATCCACCAATATTTTTTTTTACATATCTCATTTTTATATACAATACATAAATATACTTAACTTTCCTTTCCAAGGAAATAAAGAAAAAAAGGCATTTTGGAAAATGAAAATACACAAACTTCTTGTAAATAAGACATTGTAAATTTATTCACAATTACACAATTTACAGTGACCATTACGCAGCATTTGAATAAATTCTCTGAAATATACTTCTGAAATATTATTTGACGTGCTAGGATAGTAATGTTAACCAGGATCCGAGTACCGCTTCCCCGTGTTCTGGAGGTGCGGGTGTAATGGAAGGGCATAAATAGGGGTGCAGGGGCAGGCTGACCTGCGGGGGCAGCTGGGGGTGAGGGGGCCCACCAACGCTGGGAGACGAGACAAGTTGGCCGCCCACGGGCAAACCCCCGGGGTGTTTTCCAAGCCCTTGCCCAAATCCATCTAGGATCTAAAATCACAAGGGGGCAGTCGGGGGCCCCGGCTGGCCTGTCATAGTGATGAGGCCACTGGCCCGCATGTGAGAGCAGGACGAGCGACCCCGCACCCAACCACTCCTGCAGCTGATCTTGTTGCTTCACTGTTAAGGTATGCCTACACTTTAGCCATAATACAAAGCAATACACAGAGCTGGTATACATTAACCAAACACATTCAATTACATAAAATCAGGTAGTCTAATTTTCTGTAAAAACTTTTTATAGGTATAACTACACGGGAGGATTGTGACGATAGAAGGGGGGTCAGAATGAAAGATAAATTCTATGCAAAGAATTTTCCCTTCCCTCTGAGTTGGTACCTGTTTTGGGCTTGATCTCTACAGGTGTAGTAGCAGGAGCTATAGCACAAAGGCCTAAAAAACTACCTGCCACCCAGGAAAAGGGTGATTGATTAGATTTTCCAGGTTTAGAATTAAAGTTTGAGAATGATGGGTGAAAAGGGTATGTAAGAAGGATAAGGTGAGGGAAGAAAAGGGGGTTTAAAGCTCCCTGGAGACTATTGGGTTTGAAGCGCAGCCCAAACCCAAATTTGGGGTTCTAGGCGCACTACACAAGCCGCTAACATAAAACACAAGCTGGTGTTATGCCCTGGGGGCAGACTAAACAAGGGATTTGTAAAAGGCAAAATAGAGGGACCACAGCGGTGCCACCTAACTAAGGGGGCGTGGTAAAGATTGCTGGTGGTTGTGGGTAAACAATAAGTTATCATAACCACAAACCCCCATTACCACAGCTATCATGTTGAGAGATGGCTGGTAGTGAGGGAGAGGCCATGGACTCCAGGGAGCAGGGGGGCCACGGCACCTCCCACCCGCCACCCAAAAAAGGGCTGACCACAGTGGGCTCACGGCACCAACCTGCGACAACACCACCACCGGTGCCGTCCCCAAATCCTTCGGCCAAACTCACACAATTGGTGCGTTTAAACTCACCCCTACACCTATGCTCGCGCCTAGGGGACAATATTGGCACTTTTCAAGTAAACTTCTTTTTCCCACAAAGTTGTTCATACATCCTCATATTACACATAAAAAAAATCATTTTTCAGCATTCAAAGATGTACATTATTTTCATTTTTCTGTCAAAAACTCCTACATTCAGCACAGTAAAGACAGCAAACCTTACTGCTGTCCAACAATGCACAGCTGACTAATACAGCGTGCAAATTGTGAATTACAGTGAGAGCCCAAGCTACAGCAGAAAGGCCCTATGTAGCCCTGAGAAAGCTTAAGTGGTGCCCGCTTGCTATAGCAACTCACACTATTCCTCACAAAAGGAGGGTGGTTTCCACACCCTCCCGTGAGCCAGGCACCTCTCGCCTTCTTGTACCCAAATAATACAGATAAAAATTAATAGTGGCATTGCATCACTTTCAAGGATTTCAAGAAAAGAACATTATCACTTTGTGATATAAAACAAAAGTAAAAAAGGGGCAATAATAAAAGTTTTCCTTATAGAAAGTGAAAGGATCGAAGTGAGAGGTGCCAGCAGTTTAAACAAAAGTTAAAAACTATCAGTAGTGAAATTGGTAAAGCTTGAGAAATTATTTGGTTGCAGAATGATCTTTAAAACTCAGTTATTATAGCACAATTTGGTGGGTTTTAACACAATCACAACTACACAGTTAATTGTCACCACTCTACTTAGTTGCACTTATTATTTAAATAAATTAAAAAGTACAAAAAAAATTCCCTTTCTACTTGAGATATCCTCCACAAAGCAAGATTAAATGAGAGCAGATCTCTGATGTTGATAGGTAAATAAAATAGATAAAACTTATCAAATTGCCATGTCTACAAAAAAACTGATGGGCGAAGGGTTGAGCTCATTCTGTGCCCTTCGACAAAAAATATAGACTCGCATACCACCAACATAATATATATATATATATATTATATTATTTTTATTATATTATATATATTTATAAAATTAGCAAAAAATTTGGACACCAAAAGCATGAGACAGAACATTTTTTTGTGAAAACAATATTTCTAAATTAAGGATTTTTAATTTTGCACACAATCAACTGACAATACCCCTAACTTTAAAGATTTGGGCAGTTGCAAACTTGGGGATCAGGAAGTAGGGTACAATGGGAGAACCAAGTGAACCTGGGGAAGGGATCCCCAAATATTAGTTTTTTTGGTCAATGGGGCCAGCCCAAGGAGGCCAAGTGTGGTGTTGTGGTGGGAAAAACAAGTTCCCCCATAGGAAGAAAAGGTTAGATTGCTTGACAAGGATAAAAAAACACACAAGTATTCAACTTTTTGAAACAATTTTCCCTTTTTCATCATAAAAGGTATTCCATTAAAATGTGAGTGTTAAATAAAAAAGTAAAAAACTCTAAATTTTATTTTGCCTTGAAACAATGAAATGGGGATTAGGGTAAGTGTTTTGTAGTAGAAGGAACTTCACCATGGAGTTTCTGTGAAGCAGTCAGTTTCTCCCCGGTTAAGAAAGGGGCAAAGATTTTGAGCTTATATTTTATATCACAATATAATTTGTGTAATGATGCAATTAAATGGACAAGAATAGTTCAAGTTCAGGAGGCTGAAAATAATTAAAATTATCAAGAAAAGGAAAAACCATTTATCTGTGCTTGCAATTACAGTGTAGCATTCTTACTTAAAAATAATATTTCTAAAAAAAGAAAGAGGAGGAAAAGGGTTTGGGGAACAATGTCAGGGATAGTTGATGTTGTGCCACGAATGAGGAGCAGATGAGGTTGTTGTGATCTGGTGGAGACCCCAAAGGGGACTGAGGAACCTCCTCTGAGGAGACTAGACAAGGAGGGTTACTCTGTGCTCACGGATCCTCCACCCCACTCGGCCCAACCTTTCTGCCTCGGTCGCTCGCACGGAGCGATACTGTTGCCGCCCACAGTACCCACACCTACTGGCCATCACAAAAAGTTCATATTGTCTGAGATGCATCCTTTGTATTATGTCCCTGCAGTCGTTGAACACTCGGCGGATGTTTTCAGTGTCCACGGCGCTGTGAAGTGAGGGTAGCAATAATGTTTTCCATCCCCACTGGCTGTACTTATCCTCTGTAAAAAGAAAAAACATAGACAAATATATTTGGAACTAAAAAAATGAATAACAAAGAAATACAGTTGTCTGATTTAAAAAAAAAAAATTTCCAGTCATAGTTAATAGAGTGCAACCAATTTGTCTGAATCGAAGATATTCTATTATGTCAAAAATGTAAAACACGTGCATCATGACCCACAACAATTACAATAAGTCCATTAACTTTTAAAAAACATATTAACAAATCTAGTGTATGTATACCTCACAAATGCACATTTGAAATGTTCTGAACATTCCAATTATGTAATAAAAAATTTGCAAATTTGAAAAAACAAAGTTACTATATTTACAGATGAGAAAAGCTATGTGGTGTGTTGAGGTATCTGTGGAAGAAAAATATTATCTATGGTGAAAAAAAAAAGTAAGAGTATTGACCTACAAACACTTATGTGGATGTAAAGAATGGGTTATGAATGTTGCAGCAAAGGAGGAAGCCAGAGACAATGGTCTTGTCATGTATGGTGTAAATATTTTTGCAGAGAATTCAGTGCGTAGAAAGTTATAAAGCAGTGTGTGACCATCAAGGGTATAATTCAGAGGCCTGAGGAGGGGGGTTTCTGACTTAGGTTTGGCATGTAAGAAAGATGGAGAGGGATAGGATGACAAAGAGGGAGAGGGTGCATAAACTAGGGGTGGAAAATAGGAGGTAGGGGGGTGGGGTTAGAGAAGGCTTAAATTTTAGGGGCTTCTGCATCTTGTGCATATGTGTTTGATGGGATTAAGTAGTTTTTAATAGACATGATACTGGATGGTGAGCAAAGTAATATTTATCAAGGGTTTTGGGAAAGTGGATGGAAACACAGTACCTGCATTCTGAAGGATTATTATTATTATAATAAAAAAAGAAGCGCTAAGCCACAAGGCCTATACAGCGCTCCAGGGCAGGAAGGAAGCGAGGGCATCAGGTGGCAAAAGGGAGATGGATGAGTAATAGGTTACGGATAACAGCGGGGTAGTGGATGGTGAAAGGGTAAAGGGCAGCAAGAGACTGAACTAGAAAGGGCTGAGGGGAGTGCGAAAAGCATCATCAGAGTTTGTGGAGTAAATCAGTCGTTGTCAAGAAGTCAATGAGAGTGTAGGATTAAAGGAGGGCCACAGCAAGAAGGGAAGGTAAAGAGAGAGTATAAAACAAGACAACGTTGGAGGAAAATTTCTGCGTGTGGGTTTAAGAGGGCAGTCAAACAGAAGTGGCTAATCGATACTGGAACTTGCAGCTCACAGAAGGAACAGGGTGCCTCTCATGGATACCCATGGTAAGACAAAGTGTACCCAAATGGAAGGGGGGAGAGTGGTCCCCCAACCTGGGCACTGATGAAAAGAAGGGGCCAGTAACCTATGCTTTTTTTAATAGAAAAGTTTGTTACCGAGCAGATTTGACCACGTGTTGCAAACGGTGCAAAGGTGGGAGCTATTGCAGCAAAATAGCCCCAGAAATGGAACCCCCTCGCGGAAATTGGTGGTCTTGTACTGTGCCCGCGCAGCATTTTCTCCCTGTTCATTCCCCTGTCGTCGACAGAAAGGGGACCCAACAAAAAACAATATCTTTATGTTTGGAAAAATACGGCTACCCAAAGTTGGATACGGAAAACAGGGGATGAGATGTATAAAATTTTCGTAAGCCTGTAAACACTAAGGGAGTCTGAGATTACAAATGTGACACAGGATAGATGCGTCAAATAATCTGCAAGAATGGATACAGTTCAGCAGTAAAAAAATGCTGCTGAAAAAGTAAATGCCCTGCAGACGTGTCCAAAAACACTGCTGCGAATCCGCGCCGCTAAGACTTAGGCCATCGTGTACACAGCGGGGGCGAGAATGGGAGTGGAATATCAAAAAAAAAAGAGAGGGGAAGCCCCCGTAGGCAGTTGACTTTTGGAAAGGGAGTGAGAAAAAAACAGACCCGAACAGCTGGAATTTCCCCGGGGGGGGTGGGAAAATGAGATGCTCATGAACATAAAAAGGGGTGGAAAAAGGGGGAAAAAAGAGTGAATTAGGCGAAGAGAAAAGGGCGGAGCAAACGGGCGGCAAACAAATTTTAAAAGCTACTAATATGGGTGACCATTTATAAATGGAAGGATGGTAGTCGGAGAGCGTCATGTAGCGAGGCAATGGGCATCAGGGCGATCAGACAAGGGGGGAACATTCGCTTTTATAGAGCTCTAGCAGGGGAAGAGCAAAAAAAGCACCAAGGCACAAACGTAATCCTTGGTGTGGATAGAGTTAAGCTAGAGGGTAGCGGGAAAGGGGCTGCGGAAAAAATCGGGTCACCAAATCGATTTTCGATAAAAGAGGGTAAAAGTAGGCGAAGCGGGAGTTCGACGATCACTCCCCAGGAAAGATGGAAATTTTTTAAGAGGTTTAGCCGGCTGTGCAAATTGCCTTAAGAGGTAATGTGAGGTTTCCAGGAAAACGAGGTCAAAGAGAAGGCCTGAAACCTGATGTATACGTTCAGGGATCGGGGGGCCATAGAGTAAAAAAGGATGTGGGAGATAACAGAGCGTTAGTAAAAGAAATTTTGGTGATTTTTGGGTACTTTGAAAATTTAAACCCTGCGTGGTGGCCCAAGTGGAAAACGGTCGCCCGCATGCTGGGGAGAAACTGCAATAAGATGACATCACCCCTGCACAAGCAATGCGAAGTCACAACATAGGGGGAACCAAAAAAGGGGGGAAAGCTAGGGGCCAAATCTTTTAAGCAAGGGAAAAAGTGTTGTGCTTAGAACACACCCCCTGAGGGACACTTCAGTTGGCAAGTCCGGGGAAAGAACATTTTGACTCAACACAGAAATGTCTGTCAGTTAAAAGTTTTTAAAGGAAGGATGGTAGATTGCCTCGGAGGAAAGGGAATGGGGGGGCCAAAATATTTCCTAAAAGTTTTGTCTACCCTTCTCAAGGTCAAAAATATGGAAATAATAGTGATTATTAAAAAGGCATTACGAACATACGTACCCAAAGCGTATAAGGGGTTTAGGGTTTAGACGCCCCTTACGAAACCCATATTGACTACGGAGAGACGTTGTGTGTCTCTAAAACCACATTAAACGTCGATTTCGAGAGTTCCCATTTTTGCAAACTGCATTATTAAGAGCGTGGGGCGATAGTGGGAGGCTCATGCCCCGTAGTACCCGGTTTGGGGGGAAAGGAGAACAAAAAAGTTTTCCCACAGCGGGGGAAAAAACCCTTGGCCCAAAAACTTGAAGAGGGTAAGAGGACTAAAAGGGGCTGATGATGAAAATGTTTAACATCGAATATAAATGTCGTCAGGCCCCCAGCTGCCGATGATGGGCAAGCTGAGAGCGTTGCCCCCATTTCTTAAATGTAAAAGGCACATTATACTGTTTTTTTCTCTGAAAAAGAAAAGCCAAGGGTACTAACTCTCTGGCAGATTTGGGAAAAGAAACGAGGGGCATGATGGAGCCCGGGAAATACGGACCAGATGTGTGCCAATTCAAGGGCAACGTCGAGAGGGTTTGCTACATCAACACCAGCGCCCTTAGAAAGGGCCCGGGTCAGGGGAGTATTTACATAATTTTTCCTACTTTTTTCCAACTGCATCATAAAAAAAGAAAGGGGTGAGGTGGAAACAAGTCTCGCCAACAAGGGGTTTTGCTTCCGATGACACTGCGACGATCGCACGCTTCGCTTAAATCAAGAAGTCTCTCCGGTTTTTTGACGGTAACCCCCCCCATGCACCCCGTTTCAAACGTACGCACGAGCCAAGCAGGAGACCACCAAGGCATCACTTTGAGAATGCCCCCTGGGTTTGGGGTATAAAATGAGAAGCTGCGGTTTTAAACTGCGTCGAGAAGGGGGTTAGGAGTCATCAATGGGGGGAAAGAAGAAGCCCCCACTAAAAGCAGGAGGTGTGAGAAAAGATCCCAATTTGCCCGATCAAATTGCCAGCAAGGGCTGGGGAAAAGGTGGTGAATGGGAAAGGAGAGTAAGAATATCGAAAAATTCGCTGTCATGTAAGCCCGGAAGAACAGCCCCGGTAAAAGTCTATGCAGTGGAGGAAGAGCAGACTGATGATCGTGCAAGAGAGGTCGAGTACGAGGATAAAAAATGGGTGGGAGAACCCGTATTTAAAAATGGGGGGGTGAGAGGTGAGAAAACCTCCAACTGGATGCCACATGAGTCACAATGAGACCCCCCCCAGAGGGAAAAGGTGGGATTAAAATCCCAAGTAACAGAAGTGGGGGGTGGGAAGGATTTTAAACAGAAAGGCAAAGTTGGGATAGAAAATGCTCGGGAAGGAGAGAGATATAAAGAACATATTGTAAAAACCCCCTTATTCAAATGGATTTGGGCGCAGTGTAAAAGCAGCGAAAGGTGGACAAATAGTTGACAGACGGTATCATTGCGTAGAAGAAGGGACTTTCTTAAAGTTCCCCTCTAGAAAAGGGTCCGAAGAATACAATAAATTATAGCCCAGTAGGTTGGAAAAAAAACCGAGGGTTTTAATTTTTGGGTTTTTGTAAGCAAGCACCAACAGGGGGAAAACCCGGAAAACAACATCTGAAGCTCCCCCCCTTACCCCCGAGGCCCCGGATATTCCATTAAAAGGCCATGATTGGCGATGAAGAAAATACCAGGAATTTTAGGTAAAAAGGGACCCACGGGCTAAGGGGTTAGAAAAATTTAATGTGTGGTGGCATTGGGAAAAAGTTCAAGTATGGGAAGGAACGGAGCGTTTAAGAATGGGGGTTGTGAAGAGGGGAAGGGAAAAAGAAGGAAAGGGAATGAAGTGTCCATTGAAGGTTTAGTCTCTGAAAAATATTCTGAAAAACTTTAAGTGTTTCTGAATTCAAAGATGTAAAGGGACCATATTGGGATAGAAAGGGGGAGGGGAGTAAAGATTGGGACGTAATGGACTGTACCAAGTGGGGGGGGGAAGAGTTTAAAAAACTGGGATGAAGTGTGGGGGGGGGGGGAAGAAGAGGAAAAAACCCGGGAGGTGG